CTGACAATATGTTAACTTTGGACTTTAACTTTCATGTCTATAAAGAGAATGATATGATTATTTGCATAATTAGGTGACCCACGATGATCAGTCCTACATATATTTAGGGTGATGACGTTCTATCTAGTATTTGTTCTTATCCTTGTAGTTTTCTTGCACTTCATATTCTCCGTGCCTTACCTGATCTTGAATCGTTTTCTTCCTTTTGTTCTTTTCCCCATTTTTAGAGCAAATCGTCGGATACATCCGCAAGTTTACTGTTTCTGTTACTTTTCTAACGTTTTGAGCAACTGGTGTACTATCATGATCGTTTCTATACTTGTAACACCTCGGATATTTTGCTGATTTACATTTGCAAATTGTTTTTGAATCGGACCTCGTTTCAATATCGAAAAGATAAATCTCTGAGATCCTGGCTCGTTCTCTTAATAGTTCCTCGCAGGTTTCACAAGGTTAAGGAATGGTGAGTGTGCAATAGATAATGTACTACAACAATACCGTGACAATTGTCTGAATTAGGGTAAAAAATCGCCCAACTTTACTGACAAAACCAATCATAACTTCTTTGGATGCCACCCAATTATAGATCAGTATACACTTCTGGATTCCTCATAAAATAATGCATGTTCATGTATATGTTCAGAAGAAACAACTCTGAATGCCGGATATGGTTCTTATAAAGTGCCCTACCATTTTTGTTGCCGTTGAGACAGAGATTGAAAATATTTAACATATAACTCGTGAACAATGGATTTTTGTGTAACTTTTCGTATTAGCTGAAAGGATTGGCAGTACTTAAAACTTGTACTCACATTTAATGTATTAATTTTGTTTTGTTTTTGCATTGTAGGTTTAAAAATCTACAAATTTGAGAATGCGTATAAAGAATTATTGAACTATCTAAATACAGAAGAACAATGTTTATTTTGTTTAGGGAATACTTATATTCAGCTGGGTAACTTATACACCAGCGAAGTTTGCAGAGTATAGTTTTCCAACCTGGGTGAATGGGATTGGCTGGGGAATGGCTGCCATTTCTGTAATTATGATCCCCATCTTCGCCTTGTATGAAGTGAAACAAGCTATAAATGAAGGAAAAGTAAGTAATACACGATATCATTATAAATAATTTAACATGTTGTGTACAGGTGTAAATGTTAGTAATGAGAGATAGCAATACTTAAAAATGTCCTAAAATGAAATAAAATTACGGCTGTTATAAGTTCAACATTTGTGGTTTTCATTTAGTCCAGAGTAACGTTCTCGGGAATATCAAAACGTAATGTCTATCAGATTTTTTATCTTAAAATCTGTTTCAAGAATGCTTTAGGTATCATACTAAGAACTTAACACTTGAACTGAGTTATCAATTAAGTTTAATGAAACTCGATACTGTATTTGTAGCAATGTATTGCTATGAATATATAGGTAACTTCTGTATTTTTAACGGAGTATTCTTACGAAGATTAGAAACTTTGTGTGGTCGTAGAGGTGTGTTGTTAAGAAAATTGAAGAGTTTGGTTATTGCATTCTCGAAAACGAACAAATAAATACATATGTTTCGATTGTTGAGAAGCATAGGAATGTTTTGTGGAGGATTGAGTATATTAAACTGATTTTGGAGCTTCAACGTGTCGTGAAAGTCCAGTCTTGTTTTACGTGACGACCATATATCTTTACAATAACTCTAACGTAATAGTCACTGCAAAAGGCTGTTACGTCAAAAACGCACCATTTTTACCTGCTTACTTTCGATAATCCATTTAGTACAAGAGAGCGAGGATTTCCCAGCACCCGTTCAACATTGCAAAGAAATCCATATGCGCCGATATAACTTCATATGGAATATCGTCAACATCCATTTCATGCACCAGCTGCTAGAGGAATGCGATGGTTGAACTGAAAGCTTTATATTGGTGAACCCTTACGCTGTTGATTATATTGCGTACTGTTCCTTGGACACGTGGACGGCTTTTATCATTGATGTTTGTTTTCCAGGATTTTCACCTAGCCACGAATACAGTACGACTTGTTGCAGACTTCTTTAAGGATGCTCCAGGTTTCGCAAGTTGATCCATATTCCTTAAATTAAAGGAGTATCTTAAAGTTTCCTATTTGAATATATCTTTATGATCTGAGTGTAAATATTTTGTCATAAATGTTTTTTTACATACTATTCCCAAAATCGATCAATTTTTCAGTTGCATCATCCTACCTACAAAACTCGGAACACTGTCAAAATGTAGTGATTATCAGGTGATTTGTTGCTTTGCATTTTCAAAATCGCTGTAATATAACTTAATCTATCCTGTGTTTGTGACATTAAAGTTTTTAAATACCGTAGTGTGATATTGACTAGCAGAAACGCCGCCCTACGGGCGCCTGTTTGTGCTAGTAATTACTAATCGTAATGTTCATACTTCATTGAAACAAGCGCTTTAACATTGTTCAACAGTTATAAATTCTTGTTCATTTAACATAAATAGACGTGTATTTTAGTGATGAAAGATGAAGTTTATCAGACAAATTAGTCTTGATTCCATTTGTCTTGCAGCCTGTGATAAGCTTGTTCAGGCCAACAAAAGAATGGGGACCTGCGATTGGTACGAGTAAGCCTGCAGACATGACACTACCTTCGCTAGGTGATGCACCTTATTTGAATGAAGTCAAGTTACCTGGTGGCCCCTTCGACAACCCTTCGTTTCAGCACACTACCCATATGTAGAAGCGAGGCAAGACTATCGTATATCCTATGCATTTTATACTTTTTATTAACAATTTTTATCTGGATTATAGAAATCTTTGCATACTGAAGTAGTATATACGTTAAAATCATTTGAGGAAACGGGGAACGATTTAGTTCTAGGCTATCTATTGCGGAAAACATTCTACTAAAGTTTCCATATTTTCAAGCTCATGCTTGGGATTTTCCTTTCTTTTACTTTATATATATGTGTATTGGATTTTAATCGATGGTTTTAACTGATTGATTTTCTACCACTTGAAATTCATGTACCCGCATTTCTCACATTCTACCAGTATTTTATCAATTATTTGACTTAGTTTTAACATCTTATTTTCTACCGCGTACGCCCTAAAATGAGCGACTGTAATACTTACTTCTTACTCCTGAAAACAAAATCCCTTGATA